ACTGGACCGGAAGACAAGAGATATGTGCAGGAGGAAGACGCTTCCCCAGCCCGAAGAACAACACACTGCACACACGGCTTCCGAGTTCCTTCCACGTGCTGCCCAATTGCACACAGCTGTTTGGCCTCTCCAAGGGCCCTGATTGGAAAGATCTGAACATCTTTGAGAGGCCAGACACCCTTGCACAGTTGACTCTCATTCTGAGGTGAGTTTAGGGTATTTGCGGATTTTCCTGCACCGTTCTGACATTTTATCAGATTCTAATTAGTCAGCAGATCTCTAGCGGAGAAAGATGAGGCTTTCTACTTCCATAAAGATAGAAAATCTCAGAAAGCCACAGGGTTTGCTACAGGGCCACTGTGAGGCAGAATCCACTCAACGGCAGTGTTTTGTTTTAGTAAGGCAGAGAGATGGAGGAGAGCGAGCTGCAGTACTCTCCGATTCAAGGGCACGACACCAGCATATTTTCTACCTGCGTGTGTGGTGGAAAGGGGACTGGAGTGGGCTTGGGGAGACCAGGACTTGGGCTCTCGCTTTGCCACTAAAAAATGAATTTGCTACACAGAATGTGCTCAACCCTCTGAGGCATGTTCTCTCCTTTGACTTCTCAGGTTTCCTTCCGGTTCTTATTTAAGTCACCATCTTTCCAAGTTCTTCCACCAAAAGTTTAGGAATTGGCTAGTTTTTAAGGATACATTAAAAACCTATCAAAATACTTCAGAAACAAAATAACTTCCACTGAAAATCAATATAAGCTGAAGTTACCAGCCTCCTTTCTGTGTTCCTCTTCTAGAACCCCTCAATAACTGTCTTTATTTTGCCTTAATAACTTCAAGTCTAAAAGTGTAATTCTCTCTGCATTCTGAATGCAACTTCGCATTGAAGTCAGTCCCCCATTCCACTCTCAGCACTCTTTAGAAAGAGAGAGGGGAACACGGCCCACATGATACTTGCACTTTGCTATGCCAATATGTGTTAGTGTTAACAAAGGGGGGTGCAGGCCTACAAATGTAGCAGTGGTAGCAAGAAAGGGAGATTATAAACAAATTGTGTTGTGTAGCCTCTCAACTTTATCAGTGATGCCATCATATATTATTCCGAACGAGGCAATTCTTTGGATTCCTTGCCTATCACATATCATAAAGGCAGATCGAGGCAGCCTGACCGGTAGCATTATCTTGATGAAGCTCAACAGACGGATGTGCAGGTCAGGACTTTTTCGCACTCAAAAATCTTTATTGGCTTCTGGAGAATTATTCAAGATAAGCTCTTATCTGTTTGGAAGGCTTGTGCTACTTCATATGATAGCTATAAGCATGTTGAAATGTGGTGAATCCAAATGAGATGTTGAAGACAGTACACACACATAGGCACACATGCAAAAAGAATGTCAACTAGAAAAAAAAAGAATGTAAACTAAACCATTAATATATTTATATTGATTAAATATGAAAAAGAGAATGAATATATTAAGTAAAATGTATTCAAATGCATACCATCTGTTTATTTTTTACTTTTTTAGTGTGGCTACAGGAAATTTAAATCTACATATGTGGCCCACCTTTGGGGCTCAAATTACATTTCAGTAGACGGTTATCCTTTGAATGCTAACCCCTTAAATACAGGTCCAATTCTCTAATTTTTTGCATGCTATCCTTAGCACGAGACAGAAGGATCAGTAAATGTATTGCGTGGATTTCAAGAGAACACCAGGCAGAGTGTAAGAATCCCAATGTCCTCTTGTCTGAACTTCTTAAAAAATTACTCTTTAATTCCTCTACTTTTTATTGCAGGCAGACCATTTACACCTGTGTTGTTTTAGCAGTCATCAGGTTGAGATGAATATTTCATTGCTTTCAAATATAGTATTAGATATGCTAATATATCGATGCTTCATTACTTCCATTCCAGTGTCTTGAATGATGGGTAATATGCTCGATAGTCTTTTGTCACCTCAGCATCATGGTTGGCCTCCTCTCAGGCAGGAGCTACCTCTTTAGAATCTCCTCCCCGTAGGATTCCAGGTTGGAATCTGCCAAGGGAAGCTATTTGCTCTAGATCCAGAAGGCAGATGAGGAGATCATTGTTTTTGCAGTCAGTTACTGAAAGATGCCCGGGCAGGTGGAGGCTCAACACAGTCTGCAGGTCACCTTCCGGAGGAGCCACCTCTATCTTGTCAATGGCATGAGCCTCAAAGTGAATGAGATTGAGCTGGATGGCTTCTCACGTACAGGGACCCTAACTCTGACAGTGACTCTAGCCATTTTGCATGGCTAGTTTTACGATTATTTCTAAAGCTGAGCTCTCTAAATTGCACACACGCTAGGCCTTTAAAAACCTGGACCTAGGGAGGACTCATCGGGAAGTTGGGCATTCTTGAGCACCACCAACGGTGCCACAGGACTGAGGTCATCAGGACAGCCTGTGTGACCTCCAGCCCCGGCAACCTGCTGTGGCTGTGGCAGCTCTGACCCTCTTCATCCTGGGAACAGAATGGATTTTCTTTTCATGACGGAAAAAATGATTGTTGTCAACTATCGGATTATGACTCTTTTATTCCACTTATTCTCACATTTAAGAAATGATTTTATTACAGTGGAAACGACACTGCCCTTTGTTAAAGAGCTGATCCCAGCTCACAGCGACCCTTTTCTAGAGTTTCTGAAACTTGGCAAACAACCTCATCTTTCTTCCCCACAGCACCTGGCGTCCGCAGCTTGAGGTCAGCAGTCCAGTACTTACCTCATGAGACTGCCAGGACTCAAAAAATAATGATGGCGGGTGTGTGAGAGATATTATTTAATATTACATCAGAAATATCTTCAAGCAAACTCCATCTTAACATTGAATACTCTTACTCTAGCACCTTGGCACAAAGTGTATGCTCAATATGTGCTAACGAGTGCCTGAATAAATGAGTGAACGAAGATGGATTTGTATGCATCTGTTTCAAAGTTGCTTTCTAGTTTTGAGTAATTGTTTGTTCCAATTAATTCTCTCTGAATGTATTTAACACAGTACCAAGAATTCCCAGATGCTCACTGCATTTATTTTATGAAAATGAGTAGCATTTCTGCATGAATCTAGGAAATCTAGGGTGCATTGGTTCTGTAATTATTTTAAGGCCTTGCAGAGATCGGTGATCACACTTGTTAGGTAGGAATTGTCTTTCAATGTAGATGTTGAAATATATGTGTTAAAAGGTGTTTGATTATTGGATGATTTGAAGAATTCAATTCCCCCCAGTTTTCTCCTTACAATCACATTCTGCATGTAAACAGCAATGATCTCACACACGTAAGAAAGCCAATAGTCTTCACCAGAATAAATCATAGTTTATTTTAACCAGAATCATAATTTAAAAACTGAGATCTAATTGATTTGATTTTGAACAGCAGCTATTTAATGGGTATTATGTTACTGCATGTTCCGTATTGAAATAAAATCAAAGACTAATCTTTGGGTGTTTGTAAAATACAGATGAATAAGAAAAAGCAAAAGAAATAAATCCACATTTTGCCATTTTTTCTCTGAATAAGTTATTTTCTTTAATTTGGATGGTTCGTGGATGGAATAAGAAAGTAAGCCCCCAGGCCAGGATAGTTCCGTAATAATTGATAACGAATGTGCAGATAAGTGAATTTGGAATAGTTGGTATTCACTCGGTTCTAGCTCCCTGGTAGGTACTGCGCTCCTGAAATTGGGTGGACTTCCAGGGCAACAGATACATTTCAGGGGGAAATAGATAAATTATTTGGGAGGCGCTCAGAAGGGGGAGGGGAGAAGAGATTTATTGAGAGTTTTTCTGGACCAGACACCAGTTACACGGTACCGCATCTCATCAAGAAGGCAACCAACGCTGGAGTCTTGAAATCTGGTCCAGTTAATTCCCTTACCGTGGTGCAGAGCCAGAAATGTAAACTCTGTCACCAGAGGGCCAGGCACCACCTACCCTATATCCCAAGCACGTGTCCAGCTGAATGCAGACCGGCCCCCAGTCACGTGAGCTCTTTAAACTGGGGCCACAGTTGTTTGGCGTTCTGTTTCCCCTGCCTTCTATCTCTGAGGTTAAGAGGGCCCAGTTGCTTAATTGTTCACCAGATGGTAGGCATCAGAGTCAATTGGAGAAGGTAAACTGTGAATTGACACTCCCCTCCCATACATCACTCCATACATAGAACAGCTCATCTTTGGTTTATAACTTGATGTGAGCTCTAATATGTGCATTCATCCTCTCGCGTCTGCTTCTCAATATTCACACCTGTGGGCCATAAGTGAAATGTTAGTCAGGCACAAGTTGCCCATTGATTTAAGATTTGATTGTACCAGCCCTTCACTGGTGTATCACAACTAACCCCGGAGGCTTGAAAAGTGTAGATCAATAAATCAATGGATTCAGGGCAAGCGTTTGAAAGTCTGAAGGGCAGCGTACTTTGGAAGTCCTATTTTAATAGACCGTTGCAGGTGTCAAGATGTCAGGAGGGCGAATGCCCTTCTGTCCCGCTCCAGTCCAAGGTCAAGTGCTCGTGTTCCTCCGAGAATCCAAATTGCAATCTAAATCTATTAAGATTACTTTTTGTGCCCTTTGAATTTCTTTGCTCTCCCAGCGGACCCCGGGCTCCCATCGCGGGCGGTGGCAGCGCTGGAAAGGGCTGCGGCGCCTTTAAATGCTAATGAGAGGCGGTGCCCCACTCGGGAGCCAAGTTTCCCCGCCCTCTTCCCCCGCCCGCCCTTCCCTCCCGGGCTGGTGCGCCGCCTAGAAAAACTTGTGCGGGGCCATTTTTGGGGCAGTAAGATCGAGCGAGGAGCCCGAGAGCCAGGGCGCAGCCCGAGAGCGCGAGCCGCCGCCGCCGCGAGACCCCACCTCGGCCGCCGCCTGCGCCGCGAGAGCCCTACCGGCCTCCCCGAGAACGAGCCCCGACCGCCGCGGGCGACCACCAGCCGCGCTAACCGCCGACCAACCGCCACCGAGGTGCCCGAGTGAGAGCAGAGGAGGCGGCATGAGCGAGGCGGGCGAGGCCACCACCCTCACGCAGGC